CTGATTTTTGTATTTTTAGTAGAGACGGGGTTTCACCATGTTGACCAGGATGGTCTTGATCTCTTGACCTCGTGATCCACCCGCCTCAGCCTCCCAGAGTGCTGGGATTACAGGCATGAGCCACCACACCCGGAATTTTTTTTAATAGAAAGGGCCTCCCTCTGTCTCCCAGGATGGAGTGCAGTGGCAAGATCATACAAACTCCTGGGCTCAAGCAATCCCCCTGCCTCAATCTCCTGAGTAGCTAGGATTACAGCCATGTGCCACCATGCCCAGCCAATTTTTTTTTTATATATTATAGAGATGGAGTCTCGCTTTGCCACCCAGGCTGGTCTCAAACTTCTGGCCTCATTCGATCCTCCCACCTCAGCCTCCCAAAGCAGTGGGATTAGAGGCATGAGCCACTGCACCCCACCATGTATTACTTTATAAGCAGTTCTTGTCATTTAGAGACCTCTGGTAAAGACTTAATCTGTTGAAGTATCCTGAAATTGACCTATTGTTTTAAGAAGTATCTGTGTTTCTCCTCCCTGCAGAGTAAAAGGAATATTAAATAGGCTCCTCAGGGTGTCACCAAGCAGCCCAGTAACTCAACCTCCCCAAGCCTCAGTTTTCTCATGTATAAAATACAGTTTACCCAGATGAGTTCTGAATCGCTTCCAGCATCTAAAATCCATGTTTAACAAAATGTTAGGTGTTGGATCTAAACAAAAATTGGAAAGCATCCTGAAGTTTTGTCTTTTTATATTTTAAACCATTTCAGAATCTATAATGTGTATATTAGTATAGATAGAATGAAGAATAGTTTCTGCCATCATGAGAGAAGGTACAAAATTCTCTGGTTCGGGTAGATATTCATAAGTTAAAGCATATCTTAGTGCAATGTGCTTGTATGAAATGCATTAGACACCCACAGTTTTGGACTGGAGTACAGATGAAGTGAGACCATGTGATCTTAAGGAACTGCTTCAGGATGACTGCATGAGCTAGTGATTAAGTAAGGCGGCTGGGTGCCATGGCTCATACCTCTAATCCCAGGAAGGATTTGGGAGGAGGCAGGCAGATCACAAGATCAGGAGTTTGAGACCAGCCTGACCAACATTGTGAAACCCCGTCTCTACTAAAAATACAAAAATTAGCCAGGCATGGTGGTGCACGCCTATAATCCCAGCTACTCAGGAGGCTGAGGCAGGAGAATCGCTTGAACCCAGGAGGTGGAGGTTACAGTGAGCTGAGATTGTGCCACTGCGCTCCAGCCTGGGCAACAGAGTGAGACTCCGTCTCAAAAAACAAACACAAACAAAAAAAAACTAAATAAGACATTGATTTCTAATATGCAAAATAAGATTAATATATATTCTAGTGAAATCTTATGACCTTTCTTATAAGTGAGATAAATGTATAGAGAATTCTACATATTTGTATGATTTTCTAAAGCACATGGCAGCTGCCATCTCATTTAATCCTCACATCAGCCCTATGAGATAAGTACTATTAAGATCCTCATGTTATGTAGGGAGAGAGAGGCAGATTAAGTTGGCTCATAAATATTCAGTAGGACTTTTTATCTTGGTAGGAAGAAGAAGAAAGGAAGTCCATATGGATCAGCAGAGGCTCAGAAAACAGGTTGGTTGAAAACTCTGTCTACAATTTTATCTGTCTTTGAGGAAGGGACGGGATCATCTGCTGATTGAAAGCATGAGGCCAGTAGCCCACATTTATTTGGTTAAAAGACATAAGCCCTGTAGCCTTTAAAATAGCAAACCTATAAGGAAGGAATTTATTGTGTCCTGTCTTTTTATTTTTATGGCCACTTTACTTTTGTTCAATGATATGATCCCCATATCATTTGTCAACATCCTTTTTTCTTGGCCACTGGAGTTTAGGCCATGACACTGTCTGCCATCAAGGAGGTGTGACAAAAGCCTCATCAGTGAACTGAAGTAGGCTCGTGCTGTTAGCATCTGCAGGCCTGTGCTGTACTTTCCACCCTGAGAAAGTGAGAAAAAGACCAGGCATCTGATTATTTCAGGTAATCTTGCACACCAGCCCTGCCTGGTCTTTTTCTCACTTTCTCAGCCACAGACACCCAACCAATGAGTTAGCCATGGTCCAGAGAGAGAGGGCAGTGGGGCAGGACCCTTGAGAAAGCTCAGGGACCACTTGAGACTCCGCCTCCCCAGGGTCTGAACACCAGCGGCATTGTCTCCTCTGCGTCACAGATGCCATCCCAGTGCAGATTGTGGGAAACCAAGCCCAGATGATCTCACAAAGGGAGAATCTGGGACCCTATGAGGGCAAAATACCTTTTAAAGGCATAGCGGAAAGCTTGGTTGGAGTGGTGTTTGCTGTTGTGGTTAATGATCTCGGCATGCTGTTCTTAGTACACACACCTGAGGAGGACATTTATCACTGTCAGCCCGACCTCTGACTCATTAAGGAACCTGTTCTGGAGGACGCACATTACATTTCTGCTTTATTCATTTGTTTTATGTTACCTTTATTCCAGACTGTTGGAAGCAGATTAAATATCCCTTTGCCAGACATCAGTCAGCTGAGTTTACCATCAGCTATGATAATGAGAAGGAGATGACACAAAAGTTAGATCTCATCACAAGTGATATGGCAGGTAAGTGTCATATTTCCAGGACTGTGCTGTTAGGTTGGAGGTACTGCTTATGGGGGAGAGAGGCAGGAGAAAAATAAGGCAAAATCATTTTCTGTTTACATAGGATCCAATAAATCTGAAATGTGTTTTTTCTGCATTCTGCACAGAATTACAAACTGACACTGAGATATTACTCAAAAACCCTATTCACCCAGTCTCTTCACCTGCAGGGGATATAGTGACATCCATACTGATATCCCTGATGTACTACTGGTATCTGGAAGCCCTGAAACTATTTTTGTTACCAAAGCTCTGATGAAGGCACTTGGAAAGAGGGACTAGAAGGAGGAATTAAATACCATTCCTGCCCTGAGGAAGGTGAGATAGGAAATAAAGGAACTCGCAGTATGAAAAGGGCCTCAGTGTCCCTGACAAGCCATCAAGACTCGAGCTTCCCAAACCATCTATGGGAAAGATCTGTTTTTTGCTTTTTTTTAAATTTTTAATCCATTATGAATGAATACACAGTAAAATACAATATAAAATATTAGTAATAGGGAAATGTTAAAGACATACTAATTTTTTTATTAGATTCAACAGACATAAAATTACTCTAAGAATAATTACAGTAAGAGTAGTTTCTCGACAATCTCAGTTTTTGCGCCTGTCTGTCTGTGGCACTGTCACAAACAGTTCCCAGATATGTAGGACTCTGTAATCCACGGTCTGAGTAGTACTTTGCTTGCTGGCTTCTCCCTCCTCACATGCAGCCCGAGGACCGGAAGTATAGGTATCACCTGGGGGCTTGTTAGAAAGGGGGGGGCCACAGAACCGGAAGCTCCCAGGTGACACATGTGCGCTTCAGTGACTGGGAGTTGTCAGTGTAAGGGTTGGTTGAGCCACTTTGTGGACAAGGAGAGCATCCTCTGCAACCAAAATCCATCCTCTTGTTCCTTGGAAGTGACATGAGGGAGAACTTATTTTCTGTTCGCTTATTCCTTTCATTCTCCTTCAGCTTCTAATTCAGCCTTTCCTCCTTCCTCCCTGAATGATCCTTCTCAGGCTCCTTAAATGTGCAGTGCCCCGGGGTCCTGTCTCACCCCCACTAACCACAGTCTCTCCCCTAAACAGTCCCATGCCCTCCCCAGCTTCCAGCAGTGCCCTTCCATGCGTGTTTGTCCACACTGCTTCTCATGGTCAGACTTCCCTCCCAGTCCTTAGTCCGTAATTCTCAGCAGCCTGCTGGACGCCTCCACTTGCAGATCAGTTCCTCAGCAACCACAATCGAATCCATTGTTCCGAAACCTCGCCACACATGCTCTGTGCATTCCTTGCCTGATGGCTTCTCAATTGCACATCCCAGCCTCATCCAGGCTTACCCTCTGGAAAGGGTCCTTGCCTCCTCTCTTTCCTCACACCCTACCTCTCATTGGTAAAAATTCCGGATTCCTGTCCCAAAGCGGCCCCTTTCCTCTTTCCTAGTTTGTGACCTCTATGTGCATTTCTCTTTGCTTTTTTTACCTCTCACTTTTCGTTCTTTTCTTCTTCAGTCGGCCTCCACAGTTACCTGTGAAAGTGCCAGTCTGTTGTCTCCCATAGAATTAAACCAGACTTCCTAGCAAGACACTCACTCAACGCTTTTCCATGGTCTAACACATGGCTAACAGCGTACACTCAGGACATGCGTTCGAATCCTACTCCGTCGCCCTGTTGTGTGACCTAGGAAAAGTTACTTAGTCTCTTTCTGTCTTGGTTTCCCATTTGTAAAATGGAGTAACAGTCCCTACCTCAGGGGATTTTTTTGAAGATTAGATATATTAATATCTTGCTCTTGGAATAGTGCCTGGCACAGAGTAGGAGCTCTGTAAATGTGAGCTGTTGGTGTCGTCCTCACTGTCACCACTAGTCCCTGACCTATTGCTTCGGTCCTCATATCCTATTAAACAAACTACTCTGTGTCCCTCATACTCTGGGCATATCATTTTTGGGGCTCTTCTTTCCACAGTTTCCACACTGTGTGACTTCATAATTTAGCATCTCCAGAACCAGTTTCAGAGCCACGTCCTCCTCGAAGTATTTCCCCCCTATCCCGGGTCATCGTCATCACCCCCACCTCTGAGAAGACCCTACGAGGCCTCCTGAGCAGGCAGTGCGACTGTGTACGGCCTGTGGGTGGCTTCTGTGGCTTTCACCTCAGGGTTTTCCCGCAGGGCCTGGGACACCAGAGGGCACCCGCTGGAGAGTCAGTCACCACAACCTGAAGCAGAGTATCCCCACCTGCCACCTACGGCCGGCCTGCGTATGGTGCCCGCTGACTGCCATCTCTCCTGTGGTTTCAGATTACCAGCAGCCCCTCATGATTGGCACCGGGACAGTCACGAGGAAGGGCTCCACCTTCCGGCCCATGGACACGGACGCCGAGGAGGCGGGGGCGGGCGCCGATGGCGGCCACTATGACTGCCCGCAGCGGGCCGGCCGGCACGAGTACGCGCTGCCCCTGGCGCCCCCGGAGCCCGAGTACGCCACGCCCATCGTGGAGCGGCACCTGCTGCGCGCCCACACCTTCTCCGCGCAGAGCGGCTACCGCGTCCCGGGGCTGCGGCCTGGCCACAAACACTCCCTCTCCTCCGGCGGCTTCTCCCCGGCGGCCGGTGCGGGCGCTCAGGACCGAGACTATCAAAGGCCACAGAGCCCGCAGCCTTCGGACAGCGGCTACGACCTGCCCAAAGCCGCCGGCGCCGTGGCCACCGAGAGCGGTCACCCTGACTCTCAGAAGCCCCCAACGCATCCCGGGAAGAGCTATTCCGCCCCCAGAGACTGCCTCACACCCCTCAACCAGACGGCCATGACTGCCCTTTTGTGAACACAATGTGAAAGAAGCCTGCTGTGGTACTGAGCGTCGGGCTGTCGCAAGGCACTGGAAGAAGGGAGCCTGCTGGTCCAGAGCGCGCGTGTGTGCGCGCGTGTGTGTGTGAGAGATTCGGTAGGATCCTAGAGACAACGTCTCATACTGTTTACAAAATTGTGCAGCTGGTTTCGTGCTGACCCTTAGGGTTGAGTCTGTTGGGTTTTGTTGGGCTAGAAAAATGAAAATTTTCAAATGGCATTTTCATTCCTCTGACTGTGATATTGAGCTGCTTTGGTGTTAAAGGTGTAATCTGTACAGAGTTGTATTTAACAAGAATAAAAGTAACTTAAGTTTCCTCTATCAGATTTTAGTTCTGCACAGAAGTTAAGTGGGAAAATGCAGCTGTTGCAAAACGTATATAGATAGTGTGTTCATTTTTTTCAGTATATTATCTGAACTGTGTTAGCAGCAGGTCTGCTTAAACTTAATCTTGTTGTTATTGTGAGTCATTTCCTTTCATTTGATAACTAGAACTAAAAGCATTTTTAACATTCTTCTCCTGGAAGAAATGAATTACTTGAAGCATGAAAAGCACACCAGGGTGGTTGTTTATTTATCAATTATGGTTGTAGATCTAGAAACAAGCAAAGAAACAGCACCTCCACAGCTGCCCTTTTCCTTAGACTCCACTTCAGAGGGGGATGCGAAGAGGTCAGCCCAGCTCCCATGACCATGAAGGTGGCACAGGAATTACAGTGTGAGTGGCTGTATCAGATGTTTTCGTACCTCAGATTAAAAATATTGCTGAGGTCAGAGGCCACACTTTTCATTACTTTCTTCAGAAGCAGCACATTTTTGTGACTTCTATTGTCCTCTGAAAAACAAAAAAATTATCTGGAACATGTTTATACAAAAGTAAGTCTGGCCAAGTCTAAATCAAGCTTTTCTGCTGACATGAAACTGTTGGAAACTGATCTGATTTTATAAGAAACAATTTTCCCCTCAAGGAGGCGTCTGTAATTCCAGAACAGCCCAGACCTCAGCTGTACCTCATGTTCAGTAGTTTTTATTTGGGTTTGCTTTGTGAGTTAACTATGGGGGATTTAACCTCTTTTGCCAAAGAGGAAAGTGTGTGTGTGTGTGTTTTTAATAGAAAATACGGACCAAATTTTTTTTTCCCTAAAGAATGTATTATGACCCTGTTTGTATGGTTATCACATCCTGTGAAATGTATATATGTTAAAATAGTGGGGTGCTAGAAGGTCATGGCAGACTAGCTGCTGGTTAGTGTGGAGGGTAAATGGTTTACTTTGTGGAGTTTACATGGTTTTATGTGCACACTAATTGTAATAAACTATGCCAAACCAAACTGCCCCTGACTCTCACTGGTCAGCCCTGCTCACTGGGGTGTTAGAGGCACTCAAGGCTCAGCCTCTGTGAAAAGGCAGGTGCCACAGTGGAGAGAGCAAGGGCTTGGTGCCAGGTGAGGCCAGACCCTAATCTACCACAGAAGAGTTGAGACGTCTTTGGCCGCTTATATAATGATGAGCCTTAGTTTCCTCATGTTTGAAAATAGTGTCGTTGTGCTTTCTTCCTCCAAAATTTACTGATAAAAATTAATTGGAACATTTATCAAAGTGTTTATTCTAGAATAGGTCTTTTTTCTAATGTAAGCCTTCAGTGGGTTGTTTACAGAATTTTAACATTGGAATATTAGACCATAAGAACAGACTTAGGTCTACAGCACTCCTTTTTATTTATTTATTTAGTTTTTTGAGACAGAGCCTTGGTTTGTCACCAGGTGCCAGGCTGAAGTGCAGTGGTGTAATCTCAGCTCACTGCAACCTCCACCTCCCAGATTCAAGCAATTCTCCTGCCTCAGCCTCGCAAGCAGCTGGGACTACAGGTGCGTGCCACCATACCCAGCTAATATTTGTATTTTTTAGTAGAGACAGGGTTTCACCATGTTGGCCAGGATGGTCTCGATCTCTTGACCTTGTGATCTGCCTGCCTCAACCTCCCAAAGTGCTGGGATTACAGGCATAAGCCACCGTCCGGCTTACAGCACTTCTTTACAATGGAGCTGTCTTCATCTATCACAGTTCTTCTGCGATCTAATCATGACTAGTGGGAGAACAGGACTTTGTTTTGGATTGGCACTGCCTCAGGGTAGACTCATTGTATAGAACAGGTTGGATGAGTGGAAAGTTCTGATAAACCCTACACAGTTAAACCTAAACTAGAGAATAAGGGCAGAAAAATATTACGTCTTTCTTTTCTGTTGTGTTGCAACATCAACACGTATATGATAAGGCATGAATGAGACAATTCTCATTGTCTGATATCTTTGGTGTTATCAAATCCTACTGGGAGGCAAAGCTTGTATTCTGCTACTTCTTACATTTGTGGTTGAAACACATTTGCTATGATAAGCAAGACTAATACAGGCTCCTGAAACTTTGCGCTGGGTTTTATTGTTATTTAAATTTTCATTAACATTTATAATCAGCCTAGAAAATAGAAAGGATGTGAGAGATTGTTTTGTGTTTACACTGCTTTGGATTCTTAACAGAACATGAAATCACACAGGCACAACTGTATACACCATGAATAGCTACAAGGCCTTTCTCCACTCTGACCAGTCACAGCAGTCCAAGTGTGGCCACCAGGTTGGCCTATTTCTAAAATGCTTGCATTTGTTCTTGCATCAAATAGTTACTAAGATTCTGAGAGCAGTGTTCACCCTGTACTTGAGTTGAAAGAGAGGATGCCTAGTCCCTCCCACAAATCTGAGAGCAGTTGAATTCCTCCAATGGGAAGGGAGGGTGAACACTGTCACTTACTCCAACCTGCAAGTATTTCCTGCCCAAAACACAGCCCATGCAGTCACCCCATGCCACACTGCACACCCCATTGCACCCACCCACACTGCTGTGTTTGTATCCCCCGTCTCCCACTGATCTCACGCATCCCAGCCTCTCCCTGTTCTGGGATAAATTCCCCCCTAGAGGCTTTAAAGATTTTTATTTTGTCTTTGGTATTCTGCAATTTTACTACCATGTGTTCAGCTATGAATTCATTTGTATCCCCATTGCTCAGGGCATGCACCTCTTGAATCTTAGGATTTATCAATTGTGAAAATGATCAGCCCTCTTTTTTTGTTGTTTTCTTTTTCTTCTCCTGGAAATCCATTTGGTTGCTCATTAAAGCTTCTCACCTTATCTCCCATATCTCTTATTCCCTAATATTTTTAAATCTTTTTATCTTTCTGTGCTGGGTTCTCGATAAATTCCTGAAAGACAATATGGCCTAGTGGTTGAGAGTACAGACTTCAGATTGCCTGGGCAAGAAGCTGTAACCTCTCAGTGGCTGTTTTCTTGCTTGTGGGCAAATCAATATTATCCACCTACCTATGGCTGTTGTCAAGATTAAGTGAAACTTTAAGAGCACTGGCCCACACAAAGCACTACATAAGTTTAAATATTATCGTCCAGTTCACTAATTCCCTCTTCTGTTATCTAATTTGCTGTTTAATTTATCTATCAAGGTTTTCAATTTCTTTTTTGATTTCTAGAAGGTCTGTTCTTTTTTGACTCTGCTCTTTTCCACAGTCTTGATTTTTGGGGGGCATTGATGCCTTCTTTTAATAATTTGAAACATACTAATTTGGTAATATTTCTTATTGTTCTGTTGTCTTCACTTTAGAGGAAAAGCTGAGGTCTGTACAGTGGTTTATAGGGCTCTGTCAATGCTGTCCAATAAAGCTTTTGCAATAATGGAAATCTTAGCTCTGAGTTGCCTGATAGGGTAGCCACTAGCCACATGTGCCTATTGAGCACTTGAACTGTGGCTGGAGACACTGAAAAATAAATTTTTAATTTTACTTTTTATTACTAAATACAGGTGAGGAGCGCAGGCATTGCCTGTAAACCCTTGATTGCCCATCTTCTCAGGCTATCCTTCTATAAATATCCTTTGTAAAACAGCAAGCTCATGCTGTTCCCAAGCGCTTGCACATTCTAACAGCTGCAGAGTACAGTATATGACCAGGTGGAAAGTTAGATCCCCCCACTCACAGGATCCCTGCAGTTAGTCTTCCTGCTCCCTCTTCCTATTGGCCATAGGTAAATTAGGCCTCCACAATTCTCCGGCTGCTTTCAAGTAACCTCAGAAGGCAGTGACTAAGACCCTTTCCTCGCTCCCAGCTTCCCATGTCCCAGGCTGCCTGTGGCACCCGGACTGCTCCTGCCCTTGGGTCCCGCACATTCCAGGGCAACGATGGAGGAAGGGCAGGCCAGGCCAAGCATGAGGAATGAACAGTCTTTACTGGGCTCAGACCAGGAGTCCATGGGTCTTGAAGATTTCTGTGAATTTGTCACTTTTCTTCTCCACATTCTTCTCAGCCTGTTTCCGTAGCCTCACCAGCTGTTTCTTCTTCTGGTAGTGGATCTTGGCTTTCTCCTTCCTCTCCTCCAGGGTGGATGTCACTGCCTGGTACTTCCAGCCAACCTCATAAGCCAGGCGCCCCATATAGGCAAACTGTCTTGTAGACTTCAGACGCACGACCTTGAGGGCAGCCGGAACCACCATCCGCTTTTTCTTGTCGTGGGTGGTGGGATGCAGTCAAACACTTTGAGGCGCTCCAGGGCGGCCTGGCCTCACTTGGTCTTGTAGGGCAGCATGCCTCGCACAGTCCACCAGAACATGCGGCTGGGGGCCCGGAAGCGGTAGGGTCCTCGTGAAGGGTTGGTGTTTATCCGCTTGCGGAGGAAAGCTAAGTACTTTAACTTGTTTCTGTAGAAGTTGCCAGAAATGTTGATGCCCTCACAGTGCACGATCACCACCTTCTGGCCCAGCAGTACTTCCTTAGCGACGATGGCCGCCAGAAGGCCGGGAGAGGGCCTCAACCATCGAGCACCAGGACGTGCACCTCCATCTTCAGCAGTAGGCTAGGAAAGCTATTTTTTATAGTTTTTTTTTAATTGATTTTGTTTTTTTCAGAGATAGGGTCTGACTATGTCACCCAGGCCGAAGTACAATGGCACAATTACAGCAGGCTCTAGCTCCTGGGCTCACGGGATCCTCCGCCTCAGCCTCCTTAGTAGCTGGTGCTACAGGCATGTACCACTACAACCTACTGATTAAAACAAAATGTAGAGATGGGGTCTCACTGTGTTGCCGAGGCTGGTCTCAAACTCCTGGGCTCAAGTGATACTCCTGCCTTGGCCTTCCAAAGCTCTGGGGTTATAAGCATGTGCCACTGCACCCAGCCTAATTTTATTTTATTTAAATACAAATAGTCACAGGTGGCTGGTGGTTACTGTATTGAGTAAGACAAGTCTGTGACCTGTATCTCCAACAGGCCTTCACTTCCTCGACCCCCTCGTCTCCTACTGCTCCCCACCAATTCACCCCATTCCAGCCACGTGGGCCTGTTGGCTGTTTCTTGAACATGCCAGGGCACACTCATCTGGACATGTTTGTGCTTGTTCTGTCTTCCTAGAAAACTTCCCCTAGATATTTGTGTGGCTTTTTCTTTTGCCTCTTTCAAGTCTGCATTCAAATGTAACCTCCATGACATCTTCCCTCTGCCTGTCTGAAAACTGTGAGCTTCTCTAACAGGTTTTCTATCTCCTTTCCTGCTTAATTTTTCTCCTTAATATTTATCACTGTCTAATATAGCACATATTTACAATTTTTTTTTGCATATTATGTCTCTCTCCCAGTAGACCATATCTCTTGGGGGAAAGAATTTGTCTCGTTTAGTCCCTGCATATCTCCAGCACCTAGAACAGTGTTCAGCACATGTTTGTTGAAGGAATGGTCAGAAGTTCTCGAGGCTCTATCCTGTTTGTTGTTTCTATTGAATCTGTTGATGATAGTTTGCTGCTTTGTATATTGAGCAGGTCTTGCTCTGTTGCCTAAGCTGGAGTGCAGTGGTACAATCAGGGCGTACTGCAGCCTTGACCTCCTGTGCCCAAGTGATCCTCCCACCTCAGCCTCCTGAGTAGCTGGAACCATAGGTGTGTGTCACTACACCTGGTTAATTTTTAAGATTTTCTGTAGAGACGGAGTCTCCCTGTGTTGCCCAGGCTGGTCTCAAGCTCCTGGGCTCAAGTGATCCTGCCACCTTGGCCTCCTAAAATGCTGGGATTATAGGGTGAGACACCACACCTGGCCTGTATTTGAAAATTTTTGATGTGAGCCCTTCCTTAGTGGGTCTTTTTCCTCCCTGTAAAAGTTTAATGATATTGTCCTTTCTTAGTGGTTTTGCATTTGCATCTGTTAGTGACACTAGGTAGGACTGCAGTTAAAATACAGGGTGTCTTGTTAAACTTGAATTTCAGATAAATAATTTTTTGTGTAAAT